GGAGGTAGCGGGGGCAGGGCGGGGGTGCCCCCGATAACCCTGGCAGATGAGAGGCTGGTTTCTAACTTCTTTTATGGTTTAGTTTCCTTTTTTAAATACATCCTTTCCATGGCCTACGTTAATGAATATCGATTTGAGAGCTAACTGAGAAGCTACTTGTTGGCATAATAATGGATTTTATTTACTGTATTTTGTTTCCACTAAAATTTTATTTCAGTTATGTTGACGGAGAAGGGACTGATGTGCATAGCAACAACTGTTCAGACCAGTTGTAATGTGGTGGATTTTTCTCTCTGTGTTAAGTAGGGATGGTTGACAAAGCACTTTCCTTCTGTGAAGGGGAGGGTACATTTCTCAACGCAGCTTTATCGATTCTTACAATTCTTTTATGTAGTTGAGAGGTTCTTATCTTAGGTCTGTCTTTATACAGAGGTGAAGAGAGGTGTTTTGATTCAGTTGAGGTCGCAGAAGCGGGTAGCAGCGGATAATAATGATACCTCATAGTCCAGTACTGCTTTATAGTTTTCAAAGTCCTCACGCCAGAACTTGACCCTCTCAGCCATTACGAGGGTGAATGGATGGGCAGGCGTCGCTGCTTTTGTTTCCTGGAGAGGAAGCCAAACTGTGTCATAGAGGTTAAGTGACTTGCTCCTGACTGCCCCTGAGGTTAGTGGCCAAGCTCAGCAGAAAACCCTTTTTTTGGAGTCCGTGCCCTCTCCATCCAGACACCATAGATGCCACCCAGAACTTGGGCTCCTGAATTCCAGCTTCATCGTTGCAGCCGTTAGAAGAAACTGCCCACTCATGCTTCATCCATATGCAAAGTAATATATTCATGAAATTATAGCCATCAAAAGCTCTAGTTGGTGATTTACATGGAGTGGTAATAGAAGCTGGCCAGGTATTTATCAATTTAATATGAAGCAGTCATGGGGAAAAAATTTCATTCATGGAATGGGTTTTAGTTTAGTTCAGTCTCTCCACGGGGAGTTTGGTTAGACACTCTTGTTTTGACGTTCACTCTGCTGCAGAGACAGCCTTTGTAACCTCCACAAGCGTTCTTTTTCCTCACGTCTGAGGGGAAGTATTGTTTAAAGGAGGGGAAATACCGCTTTGGATCAGATGGCTTTTTCCCCCTACAAATATGGAGACTATACACATCTGGCAAATCGGAAAAGATATTTATATCTTTATTTTGAAAATTATTAAGTCCTAATATTTAATTTGCATGTAAGAAAGAAGCTAAAACTAGATACTGGATATGTAAAACCAGATCTATTCTTAGTGTTAATTTCTTCACTTATTAAATAAGTTGTTATTTACATATAAGGTGCTAGGAACAGTCCCTGGCACGTAGTAAGCAGTAGGTGTTAGCTATTACTATCATCATCATTGTTTTGTTAATTCATTTATTTCGTGACCGTGTCAGCGCCTGTTCTGTGTCAGGAACCTTGCCACTTCTGGGGGTCATTGGTGAAAATCACTGTCCCTGGCCTTACTTATGAGGGTAGAGCGGGCTGTCATGAGCAATGACAGGGTACAGCCGGGCCACACGTGTGGGAGGTTCTCGAAGGCAGCGGGGGAGAGGGCGAGGGGCACATTAGTCTCCAGGTTAGTGTCGGGGCAGCGTTCCCACAGGGGTAGTATTTGTGCTGAGTCGCAGCGCACAGGAGGGAGCCTGTTAGACTCCGAGTGGAGGGAAGACATGTCAGGTGCAAGAATGACATGCTTAGAAGCTTAGCACCGCACGTTCCAAGAATGGCACGTTGTTTGGTGTCGCTGGGTGTGGAGTGCGAGGTAGGGAGCCACAAGGTAAGAGGTGAGAAGGGAGGCGTGCCTGTCTGCTCCGAGCCCCCGCTGTGTACCGGGCCGTCTTTTAGGTGGTGGCCCTCCAGTCTTTATGGAGCAAACATCACAGTTGGGTAAGGAACTGTGCTAAGGAAGCGCCTTGTGCACATAAGGGAGCTCTGATTTACCCCGCTGACCTGCCCTGCCCCCCGCTGAGGAGTCTGCATGGCGGAGGCGGGTATGAGATGAGGTCAGATTTTTGTATGAATGGTCATGTGGAGGAGAGACTGGAGGGAGGAACCGCTGGACGCCAGAAGCCCTGTAAAAATGCTGTGCATTAGCCTTCCTGGTGAGCTTGGGCAATGACAGTAGAGGCAGGGGAGGGACAGTATGTGAAAAATACAGAGAAGGTAAATCTGATGGGACAGTGATGGGCGCAATGGGATGACGCCCAGATGTCTCCTGTGAGCAACTGAGAGAGAAGTATTAGAGGACACTGGTGTGTGAAGATCGTGAGCTCAGGTTTTGGCCAGCAGGTTCGAGGCATCTTGCGATGGTGTTGTACACTTCCCTTTTTTATCGAACGCGTCTTGGTCACCTCTTTGTTTTCTTGGGCTGTCTGTGGCTGTTGGCATGTTTTTGGCTCTTGGCGCTTTATTGATTATGTCAGGTTTTCTGTATTTAGTTATGTAGCTATGTAGGTGGTGTTGTCAAAGTTTGAACAAAATTCTTTGTTCTCTGGGAAAGGAATTAAGATGGGTTTCAAGAAAGGATACTTCTGTCCTCAGTGGCATGTAGAATCATGCCTGCACAGTTCTGTTTAGAGCAAGTTATGGAGAACACACTCCTTAGAATAAGCAGCCAGAATAAAATTATACATACAGGAGACCCTACAGCAGAGCAGTTAGGCCACGTGTATGCATAATCTGAATGGCATGCTTGACCAGAAGTTGCTTTTAAAGTTTTAAATAGTATTTGCTATTTATTCTGATGATCGCAAGACCTGAGAGGATTTTTAAGTCATCTGAGTAAAGAGAAGTTGAATTATGTTCTTAATTCTCTTAAGTGTGGCTCATTTTAGAGTTATTCCCATCCCAACCTGCCCCCCAAAAATGTAAAGCCACAACAGGTTGGTAATTATTTCAGGGATAATCTCACTGCGAGAGAACCATGGCCAACTATCCTGCAAGCTGGAGCTCATCTCATGAACAGTTAGGAGTTTTCACTAAGCACAGTGCTGAGTGTTCATTGATTTTTTTGTTTGTTTGTTTGTTTGTTTGTTTTGGCTAAGTTTGTGTGCAGGTCACTGTAGAGGTGAGAAAAGGTCTTGCCTTTAGCTCATGGGTTTTGTTGAAACAAGAGGAGCCCAAGAGGACTCCACGCATTCCAAAAGGGAAGCCATAGTGTAGCTTTTGGGGGAGAGAAGAAAAAAAGATGCGGAACAGCCTTTGACTATGTGGTTTTGTAGGTTTCTCTATCATAAGCAGGCGTTTTGCCATTTCCAGTACGCATTTGGAAGACGTCCCATGCACACAAAAGAACTTAGGCCATTTGACATGGTAGAGCCACCAGCAGCATTATCTTTAAACACCTGGAGTGACTTGAGGGTGGGCTGGTGTGGTGCATATCGAAAACCCACACTCCATAGTTGAGGCACCCTCAAAGGTCTGCTAAGGTGAGGAGCTTGTTTGGGGAGGAGTCAGAATTTCTCTCAAGAATAATGTAGTTATAGCAGTCATTTTTTGAGAACCCATTTGTGAGCAACAAATCGTGTTAGGTGCTTCACATGTTTTATCTGTCATCCTCATGGTGCCCCTGCCAGGAGGTTCATTAGTCTTATTTTACAGTTGAGGAAATTGAGCCTCAGAGAGGCTAACTTCCTCAAGGTCACCCAGGTAGCAAGTACTGGAGCTGAGTTTGAACCTAGACCTATCTGTTTGTTTACTACCCCTGCTGTAATCCCTCACGGACACCTGGCACGGTCCTGAAGAGATGCGTCCCACCCGCGTTGGCGCAGGTAGGTGTTAGTGCCTACTGTGGGGGAAGCCAGCGCAAGCCACCCATCATCCTGCTGAGAGAGAGGCTGTCCGGTCACTGCGAGTGTCTTGGTGTCCAGAAGAACAGCCAGGAGTCCCGCAGCTGCTTGCATTGTCGCTGGGCCTGTAGTCCGCACTGCTTCCGGGCCCTCCCAAGCATTCTAGGTCAGTTTCTTCCTGCCCACCAGGTTAGTTAGTGGGCCTACATCTGTCACCGGCTGCTGTCAACTGCACGGGGGCTCTGCTGTGCTCGTAACAAGTCGGGGGCATTGGCTTATCACTCAAGGAGAAAGAAGATGTGCAGTCGAGTAGATTCAGGCTCGCTCCAGGCTAGAGATGGGGTGGCAGCTCTCTCTTCAGTGAGGTGACTCCCCTCTCAGAAGAAGTCTCATCATGAATTTCCTGCATTGATGTTTCAAAGTGTACTTTTGTATTTGGAGCGAAAAACTTTATTTGTGATTTTCAAGAACTAGTAACTCAGCAATATTTAAAGAAAGAAGCACTGAAGGAAGGTATCATTCTGTGCCTTCCCCACCATCTCTGGTATTCCCTTCACAGACCCTCGCATTGGAGTCTAGGGATTAGTGGGGCTTTGGCCTCTGAGAGGGGCCGGGCGCTCTCCTCCTCCTGTCGCCCTCATCACTTGAGTCGGAAGTCCTTGGTACTTAACCTCTCGGCCATTCTTCATTTCAGCATCACAGAGATAATTATAAGCACTATCCTGCTTGTATTACTCAATAGTTTTAATGATTCAGATGAAATACTTGATGTAAATGTGCTTCACAAATTGTGAATTCATAGAATATATCAGTTTTCATTACAGCAGATTATCATGGAAGTTATATTGTTGACCGTAAAGTTAACCTAGGACTTTTCTGCCCATCTGGAAGTGAGATCACTTTTCTCTTGGCTTCCCCTCCTGCTGCCAGCTCTTTCTCGTGAGGTCTGGTTGGTGGGTGTGGACAGGATGCATCTCATATGAGAAGGATCAATGTCTAGAATTATTTGTTGTGTCACAGTCCTTCCCACCTTTCAATATTTGTCAGTCTGTGTTAGATTTTAAAAATGTTTAAATCAGCTTCTAAGTATGCTCAGAGGCAACTGTGTTAAGAAAAATAATGATCTTGAAGAAAATAATAAAAGATCATAATAGAAAAATAATTTCCCTTAGATTTTATTGCAGATATATATATTTTATTGCAGATATATATTTTATTGCAGATTTATATATATATAATTGTGCTAAAATGCATATAACGTAAAGTATAATGTCTTAAATTTTAACCGTGTGATTCAGTTGTGATAAGTATATTCACATTGTGCAGCTGATCTCCAGAAGTTTCTCATCAGGCAAAAGTCTGTCCCCATGAAACAACCTCTTCCCAGTCCCCTCCTTCAGCCCCTTAAAATCACCATTCTAATCAGAGATTGTTTTATATGTTAGAAGATGCAGAACCAAAAAGAGATTTTTTTCCCTTCCATTGGGAGGAATAAGTGAAATAAAAGTCCGAAAACTACAAAGCTTACTCTGTATCTTTTGAGCCATTATTATCACTACATTCATAAAGAAGTTTTTCTCTAGAAGGACAGGTATTTTGTGACAATTTAATTTTCTTTGTAAAACAGTGATTGAGTGTCACCATTGCAGAAAATGACAACTAAGACACTTTGAAATGTTTCATGAATGTACAGGTTCTGCGACTAAAATTACTAGGCTGGTTAAAATAAAGTGATTATAGAATTATGGCCTCTCACACGTGGCTCTTAGGCCCATGACACAGGCGATCTGGGTATTCTGTCTAAGCATACGTTTGAGTGTGACGTCTTGGATTTTTTCCCACCAACAGCATGAACAGACTAAACACTTTGCCTCGAGGATTTGGCTCCCTCCCAGCCCTTGAGGTCCTTGATTTGACTTACAACAACTTGAATGAAAATTCTCTTCCTGGAAATTTCTTCTACCTGAGTAAGAAACTTTTAATTCTATAAATCTCCTTAAAATGGTACTCAGTGTTCTAAAAGTGAAATTTGCTTGCCAGGACCCAAACTCCAAGAGAAATTATTGGACATGTATTTTTTTTTTCTTCGCAGATTCCTTTTGAATATTCCTTCATAGCTCAGCAGTATGTATATTTGACGGATAGTTATCAGACACTTTGCGCTAAAGTGGACTTCATAACGTCATATTAACTTTTTGATAGAGTTTCTGTACCTAAATGAGATCGAATCTCACATTTAGCTAAGGAAATTTCACTTTTTTTAAAGAGCATGCAAAAAAATAATATATGTGTGCTCCCATATTGCTGTTAACTCTTTGTAGGTTCTTTGCTCAAAAATATTCCAGTTCATTATTTATAAACATATCCATCAATAAACTAACAGAATTTTAAAAATTTCCAGCCAGGATTCTTGTTTTAAAAGCCTTTTAAAAAGCGCTCTTATTGATATAGTCTATTTTGTTGGTAGTATACAATTGAACATTACGAAATTGTTAGTCACAGATGAACATGCTTTATCCTTTCATATGCAAACAAATTCTTGCAGATGCTCATAAAAATGAAGAGAAACTGATCTTTCCAAGAACTCGTGGAATATTTAGGAGAGTTTCTTTCCTTCAGTGAGTGTTCTGCTTCTCCAAATAGTGACATACGTGGCACCCAGAAATACTGAATTTTCTGTATTTTATAATTTTCTGTATTTCTAAAATTTTATTTTTACATTATACATACCTCCTGTCCCAGACTTTTTCAAGCACTTGAAACCAACTCTAAAATATTTTCTTGGGCATTGGAGGAAATTTTTTTTTTTTGTTATGTACATTAACCTACAGTTCTGTTGAATTTTAAAACATTAGAATGTAATCGAATACCTGTAAACAAAGTATACATCTTATTATACTCTTCCTTTTCAGTCGAGGTTAAAAAAATGGTTTAGGATTTTAGCCTTCAGTAGTTTGGGATCATGTGGTCATTGTGTAATACTATGAACAAATTTCTGATTACTGGTGCTCTGCCTGTTAGGGTTTTCTCTGTTTTTAAACTCTATGTTATTATTTTAGGCCCATCGTCTTCTTCATTTATTTTTGTCATTAAGGTTTTAGAAGCAAGTAATAATACAGTTAGTTGACCCTTGAACAACACAGGTTGGCACTGTATGGGTCCACTTATGCATGGATAGTTTTCAATAAATACAGTAAATGTATTTTATTTTCTTAACATTTCCTTTTCGCTAGCTTACTTCATTATAAGAATACAGTATATAATACATATAACAAGAAATATGTGTTAATCGACTGTTTACGTTTTCAGTAAGGCTTCCGGTCAACAGTAGGCTGTTAGTATTTAAGTGTTTGGGGAATCAAAAGTTATACACGGAGTTTTGACTATGCAGGTAGTCATCACCCCAAGCCCACACATTATTCAGAGGTACACTGTAATTAGTCTGATTATAGAAACAGTGAATTATGGCCCCTCTGTTTCCTGAAATTCTTTTAGTTATTTTTAACTTAATTCTATTTACATGAAAAGCCCTTTTGCCCTAAGTATTGATATAAGTGACACAGTGGTTTTCTTTGGTTTACTTTGGATGCAAATAGAGTAAGAAATGTGAATTGGAAGTAATAGAAGAAAAATAGCTGTCTCTTCTGAAAGGATATTGGAACATCGTGCCCCAAACTGCTGGTGCCCAGGTTGTTAATTGTGTCAGTCCTCTTGGAAATAGATGTGTTCCTGAACACACCAGCTCCACCGTAAGCCAGTAAATCTAAATTTGACCTGCTTGTTATTATTGTGAGACCTAGGTATGTCACAGGCTTTTCACTAGGCCACGGTTATTAATCAAAGCTGACTCCCCTGTATTGATCAGACCTCAAATGGTTGGGTTCCATGCCACCCTGTTTATATATTGCTGTTTAATTTGCAGCCACCCTGCGTGCACTCTATCTAAGTGACAACGATTTTGAAATCCTGCCGCCAGATATTGGGAAGCTCACAAAGTTGCAGATAGTAAGTAATTTATCTAAATTCTGAGAAAATCAATTCACTTCTGCAGCCCCTGTAGTAGAATCAAGTCAATTTGAGCGGGAGTAGGGTTCGTTTTGCAGGAATGAACCTCTGCTCTCGGTCCTGTTTCTTGTTCATCGGCACACATTTGTAAATAAATTGAAAGGGTTGAGCCTCAAAGAAGGGAGGGCATGAAAGAGGACGAGGGTTTCTGTGGGCGCCTTTTTACGGGAATCTGTGTAAAATTGTTTTGACAACTCCTTGTTTTCTTGTATTTAGCTCAGCCTTAGGGATAACGACCTGATCTCGCTGCCTAAGGAAATCGGGGAGCTTACTCAGCTTAAGGAGCTCCACATTCAGGGGAACCGCCTGACCGTTCTGCCCCCAGAACTAGGTAAGGTTGCTGATGAATGAGCTTAGTTCTGACTTTAATTAAGAGCGATTATCCAAACGCAGCAATTCCGAACGATCCCCTCTCCTCTTCTCGGCGAATGCCCTCCACCCAGGCGCCCAGCTCTGATCATTTCCACTAGCGTTTGTCACTGACCGGATTTCAGCCGCTGCAGGGCTGACCAGCCCCGATGCCGTGTTCAGTAGCCACAGCGCTCAGTGTCTGAAAGTGCTGATGAAAGATGGCCCAGTGCAGCTGCCTGCTTGGCGACAGGAGCCGAGATGAGTGTTGATGGTCTTGCCAGTGGCTCCTCTTCTACAAGCCGGCGATGTGGTTTTTTGTTTTTTTTTTTTGTTTTTGTTTTTGTTTTTTTTGTGTGTTTAAATCAAACCATCACTCTTATTTTTTTAATCTCGTAATTTTTATCTTAATCCCTTGACATTACCAGATAGTTAAAGTGTTTGTTACAGCTACTTGGAAATACCTTTTCCAGTCGTGAATTTGGTTCTGTCCTGATTCCGCCTCCAGTGGCAGTCGTTAAATGTGTCCCAGCTGGAAATGCCTCAGTCCCACTCCTGTGGCAGCTGCATCCTCCTCCTCTGTCTGGTCATTCAGATGGCCCAGGGTGGGCTTAGGACCTCCCTTGGAAATAACGTCCAAACCTGTCCTATTACTGAGATTACGCTACCTTTTTGGAAAAGTTTTATGAGTTCACTTCTCTTGTGCCCTCTCTCACTATCCTCTTCATTACACTGAACTTCGCTGTTTCTCAGACAACGACTTTCTGCTCCAAAATACCATTGTTTTAAAAAGTACATTTAACCCAAACTTCTTTGAGGAAGTACCTCAAGTGACTCTGGTGGTTTTAAAGAGGTCAGGTATTATAAATTAGAATGTAAGTGCTAAGTGCCCCAAGAGCAGGAGGCTTTATATTTGTTCCCTGCTGTGCCCCTGTGCCTGCCTTGTGCTAGGCATGAGGTGGGTGCTCAAGGAGTATGTTCTGACGAGTTAAGGAAACTTGGACCTCAGATAGCACAGCGTTGGGAAGGCTACCAGCAGACAGAGTCTGACTTCTGTCCAGAGCTGTGCCATCCAGCATGGAAGCCACGAGCCACATTTCAAGTCCCCAGTGGCCATGTGTGGAAAACACAGAGCATTTCTGTCAGTACAGGAAGTTCTGTTGGTCTAAAAGGCAGCGCTGGTCTAAACGAAAAGCGTTCACATGATTTCATCGAACAAGTGGAAAGTTTCAGCCCCACTTTTCCCTTCTCTTTTAGCGCCGTCATCAGTGTAAAGGTCCGAGGAATTTGTACTGATCGAAAGGCTGAGGAGTAGTGTAGCACCTTCTCTGAGTTACGAGCAGTCAGGTCTCGCCTTAGGAGCAGGCTACAGGATCAAGAAAAGATCTTCGCAAAAGCGTTTGAGGCAGAATACTTCTTGTCAAAGAGATTCTGTAGAGTGACTGTTACAGGCCATCGGCGTTAGCGTTGGTAAAACCAGGGAGCGTTTGTGGAAGACGAACATCTGCTCGCTCCCAGCCCGCAGCATCCATCGGAATCTCCATGCAGGAGAATAAGTCTTGTCTGATTTGGTGAAACTCAGGTGGTGCTTTTGGCGTGCATCCTTGGTCAGTGTGATTAGGAGAAATGGAAAAAAGTGTGTTTTGTTGTTTTATTTCATTTTTTAGGAAATGAGGCAATGTAGGGCATTAGGTTAATCAATCATTTCTGTCAGATAATTTAGAAAAATATATAGTTGAACCTACACATACCTATGTATTTATATCTTTTAAAATCATAGTCATATTGCTTATCTTGTTTAAAAACTGCATGTTATCATATTCATCTGATGTTTCTGGTAAGCTCCTCAATAACAAATTATATGTTTTTTATTCAGCAGTAGAATTAAGAAGGGTCTTTAAGTGACTATTTTTTGTGAGCCTTATCTAGAAAAGCTTAATTTCAACATCTGCCTAGTAGCAGTTTTCCCTAATTGCAGGTCAACACTTCACTGGAAATAAACGATAAACCCCTGGGAGTTTATTACAAATCTAAACTCAAGATGAAGACAGATGTATTATTTATTTTTGAACAGTTTTTTTTTTAAAGTTAAGTATAATAGGTAGTGATATAATAATAGCTATTAATAATAATAGCCAGTATATATTAATGCCTGTATGCCAAGGCACTATGGCAAATGCATTTCCTGTACTCTCTCTTATAGTTGTCATAAGCATAGTAAGGTGACGTTGTAGAGGTGAGGAAACTGGGGCTTAGAGAGGGCTGGCGAAACATTCATAGGGACACCGTGAGTCACGGAGGTCCACATTCCTAACCTGTGGTGTATGTCTTCCCATCTCTGTGCCAGTAAGAGGATTTTCAAAGCAGTTTCCAGGTGTGAACTAAACACCAATTCCCCCTGACTCGCCTCCCCCAAAGCAGTGATGGCAGGTGACCTGATATGGCCAGTTGCATGGGCTGGTATGTGAGCAGCAGGGCCAGAACACACTTTGCAAGATGCAGATGAGATGGCCTCTGTGAAACAAATCCCTGGAATGCTGCCCCATTCCAAGCCAATTGCATTGTCCCCATGGTTCTTCCTCCCAGTACATATCCGGCCACAGTAGGAGTGTCTTTTGTCTGTGTGCTGAACATCTAAGGTGCTCACTGGAGCAGCCCTGGCTGGCTGATGAGCAGAGCGAGAGACCGATGTACTCGAAGCTTCTTACACCTGTCCCACCTTCATCCATTGGCTGCAGGTTTGCTTCTTGGGTTCATTTGAAAGTGTGGATAATGATCTCTTCCCTGTATATCTATTTTTTACATACCTGATTAAGCAAGGTAAATGTTTTTGAGATTTCTGTGCAACTTTCTTTAAAAATATATTCAGAGTTTATTAACTTGAAACCTTGTTGGTAAGAGCATTTGAGCCAAGCAAGGGAATTGGATTTCTGACTTGTCAGAAATAAGCACATACAGGGCCACAGCAAAATAAAGTCAGGGGCTTGGATGGAGTTTTCACATGTAATTGCATTACTTTCCTTTGTTGTGCTTCCCTGAATAAGTTACTTTAACCATTATGTCTGATTCCTAAATAGTAACACACTTGATTTGATGTTAGTCTCTGCGTCCACAGAAAATTAGATAGAAATTGGATCTATCATTCACCAATTCATTTATTCATTCATTGAGACATTTATAGAGTTCCTACTTTAGGCTGGGTCTTGTCTCCAAGGAACTTACTTTTCCAAAAATAAATATTTATTGAGCCCCAGCTTCATGTTTTTATTTCCTGGAGATAAAACAAGAGGCAAAACACCTTTAGTGGGGGGCGATGGATGGATGGATGGATAGATAGCATATCAGATGATGGTAGGTGCTCTAGGGAGACAAATAAGCATGGGAGGGAGAGGCCAACTGAGGGAGGGGTGTCACCCCATTTTACAGAGTCAAAAAGGAAAGCCTCACTCATGAGGTGGTGTCATTTAAGCAGACACCTAAAAGGGGGAGAGAGATTCCCTGGCAGAGGGGCTGGTAAGTACCGAGGTCCTGAGATGGGCTTGTGTTCTGAAGAATAGCAAGACTAGTGAGCCAGAAGAGGGTGAATGTGGGGGAGCGTTGGAAGAGATGAGTTTAGATGGGAAGTAGGGACTGGGTCACATGGGAACTTGTGGGGCGTTATACAGACTTTGGTTCAGGGTGAGATGACGTAATACGGTGAATAGTGGCCCCCCGAAGAAGCCCCCATTCTAATCACTGGAACCTGGGAATGTGGTAAAAGGACTTGGCAGGTATGATTTAGAATCTCGAGATGGGGAGATTATCCTGCATCACCCAGGTAAGCCCAGTGCAATCATAAGGGCCCTTTGAAGGGTGAAGCGGGAAGGTCAGAGACAGTAAGTGTTTGAAGACGTGCTGACAGAATCACGAGGTTAGTCATGGGTGGAAGGGGCCATGCGCCAAGGAGGGAGGGCAGCCTCCAGATTCCGGAGAGGGCAAGGAATTGATTTCGCCTTAAGCCTCCAGAAGGAGCGCAGCGCCTCTGCGTTCATCCAGCTGGTAGTGATGGTTAGATTCCGAGTCTGTCTCAAAGGCAGGAACTAACAGGGATTGATGAGGATGTAGGTGTTGGGCTAAGAGTGAGGATTGACTGTGAAGTGTTGGCCCTGGGGAACTACAAGGGTAGGGGAGATAATGGGAGGGCTGGCTTAGGAGATGACGGGGAGGCGAGGAGCTCGTCATGGGCCGAGTTCATGTGTCTTAAGTTTGAGATGCCTTTTGGATGTCTACTCGAGAAGGCAACTGGAAATGAGAATCTGGAGTGGAGAGGTCTGGGCTGCACATGTAACTGTGGGTATTGTCTGCGTACGTGTAATGCCACAGATCGGATGAGATCCCTTGGGTCTCAACACTAAAGCCAGATGGCTCGGGGACCTTTATGGGTGGGGCTGGCTCCCAGGTCAGGGACTGTGACTTCCTCTGGGCAGCCCCACGTTAGTTCCAGTGCTAGTGCAGGGATGTGCTTGTGCTGTGCAGGCAAACTCTTTCCTGACGTTCAGTTATCTGTGCCAGCGAAGGAGGGAAATAGACACAGCCGACATCTTCTCCCAAGTCTGCCTGACTCCAGAGTCTCTTTTGGACCAGTATTTTCGGCCCACAGCCAGTCTCTTCTAAAAAAAAAAGTAGCAACCTGACAAACTGAAGGCTCACCTGCTTTTAATTAGTTGAAGAATTAATTAGTGGAGAAAAGGCACTGGAAGGGGAGGAAGGAACGGCAGACCTCTGACCAGTCCTTGGAATAAAAAGTCCCAGAGTAACAGCTTCGCAGTGACTTTGGAGCTGGGGGCTCTGTGAGCAGTCCTCGCTCCTGTTTATTTTTGCAATTTTTCACTCACACAGACACTTGTTGTCTTAAGACGTGAAATGTAAGTTTTTGCTTCTCTCTTTCCTACGTTTTCCAGTATTCAGTCATTTGATCTTGATGGAATCATTTCTGGTTTCATG